AATAGCGCAAGTGGTTCACGCTGGTCAAGTGGACATCCGCTTCGCTATTGGTCAGTCACCTTAACTGGCCAATAATGAAGTGGGTTGGGAGGGTCACGTGATTGAGTGCGCGTGCCTAATCTGCTATGAGGCCGGTTACGGTAACCTACAGTAACCTTCGCAGAAAGATGTGAAGCGTGTAGTTCTTACTAAATGATGATATGGGTAAGCATCAATTTCCTCCTCTTTGATATGCTTACCTGTACAAACATTGCATAAAATACTTACTCAAATTTTTTTTTCTTAAGATTGAAGGATTTTTTTGATGATAAAAAACTTCAGTGCTATGCGAGCAAGTGCTGATCCCAGCCATACCAACGGTTTTACGAGACCATGAACAACTTGGTGCCGAAGTTATTGGCAGGCTACGATATACCAGAGGTACGGTAATCCTTTCATTCATGCCCAAAGTCTATCTGGTGCTTCTAGCTGAGAACAGTCATTTCCTGAACACTCTGGTAGAGCAGGCCATGACTTGGGTAGACAACTATACTCGACAACCATTGCTGGTTCCCTTATCATGCTGGATAGCTCCACCAATTATGAAAAAGTGCAGGACGTTTACCATTAAGGTAAGCTCGAAAAGCTGTTTAGAATTTTTGGTAGTCTTAGGGAATTGTTGAGGACTGGAAACCCGGCCAAACAGTGCTTGCTCCGACCTTCAACCATCAGCATGTTCTCATCTCTGGAAATCAGTCAGCCGTTGGAGTGATCTACATGTACCACATAGCCGCACAATCTCTTATGACCACATTTATTGGTAAATTTTTTGTATCGAAAATGCAAAATAGTTGCAAGCCGAGTTCTAGGACACACTGCAAATGTGACATCGTTGTGCAGCAGTACAAGCGGCTCATTCTTTGTGAGCACTTCGGTGGACAAGACAGTTCGGATATGGAGCCTCATGAATGTGAGCAAAATTATTATTGCTTTATAAGAATGTGTTGAGCGAAACACTTCCCTAGGAAATGGGATTTTATTGTATTTGCCCAAACTTGTGACGTTTATCCTCAATTTCTTTTCGCCAAGCGCTTCACTAGGAATGTTATCAAGAAAATGTTTTGAATGTTTGAGAGATCACAGATGTTTGAAAATGACTCAAAATTATGGTTTACTGTTTACGGCGATAGTTAATACAAATTCTAATGCCAGCGCTATTTTTCTTAAGAATGAGATTTTTAAACTGCGAAAAAGTTGATTGACATATTTTTTGCTATTTTACTGTTTTACAAGAGATGATTTTCCAGGGTGATTGTCTCCAGGTGCTGACGCCTCATACGCATAAAATTACTTGTAGTATTTTGGCTAGTGACGATTCTTTCCTGGTCACCGGCTCAGCTGATTCATCAGCTAAGGTGAGTTC